TTTTTTTTTTTTTTTTTTTTTTTTTTTTTTTTGTTTTTGTTTTTTTTGAAATGTATATTGTATTTTTAAAAAGAATCATCTTTCTTATTGCGTAAGACTTTAACAAACAAAAAGTGACGTTTTTGCATAGAGATAGATATCCAGGACCACATACTTGACCATTATTTATTTTAATGATATAGAAGGCCTTATGACTAAAAAAAATCGAGTGGGTAGGTAAGTAAATTTTAGAACCTTTAAATGTTTGTAATACTATATTGACAAAATGTTAGGATTGTAACACAAAATGTTAGTCTAATATTTTGACAAAAATGTTGGTATTTGTACAAAATATTAGAAAAATTAAAAAAACAATTTTATCCCCTCCCTCACATGAAACTTTCAAGAAAGCATTTTCTCTTCAATATTTTGATTTTATATTAATATATCAAAAGAAAATAGTTCCATTGATCTTATTTTATTTTGCCCCCTTCCCCGTGGTCAAGAATTGTCAAACTAATGCAAAAGAAAAGCTTTCCCCTTAATATATCCTGCAAATAGGTGACCATGCTCTATTTACATAAGTAGCATACAGTACCAGTTAATAAAAAAATAAGTTCAAAATTGGTGCTCTTCACGAATCAATTATGTCCATGAAAAAACTGAAAGTAGACCAAACTACAACATTGTTGTACCAAGTTATTATGAAGGCAATGAATTCATCAAGTAGGCCTACAGGTGGCTGGAGCCAAGGACTCTTGGCTGCTATGAACAATCCTGAAGTAGTCATCGATTCAGATGATCAGTTAGTTGTCATTAAAGATAAATATCCTAAGGTAGGTAACGGTAAGGTAGCCTGGCAATGATTCTGAATTATTGAATCATCACTCTAAAACTCATCAATCAATGCCGCAAAAAAAAAAAAAAAAAAAAATAAAAGCCAAAATAACTGTGGCAAAAAAAGACAAAGCAAAAAATAAACGGAAAAAAAAACAAATTAGTTGTAATTAAAGATAAATATCCTAAGGTAGGAAACGGTAAGGTAGCCTGGCAATGATTTTGAATTATTGAATCATCACTCAAAAACCCATCAATCAAGGCCGCAAAAAAAAAAAAAAAAAAAATTCAATGCCACAGTCACTGTGGCAAAAAATGGCAACGGCAATAATGAATGGTAAAAAAAACAACAACCCATCAATGGCATTCAAATGGCAGCTTATCAAACTGGGTTGGTTAGACTAGTTAAGTAAAGTGGGTGGGCTGAGTAGTAATAGTAGCCACATCATCAGTTTTACAAGTCAAATCACACTTGATTTAGACTTTTGGACGACTTGGACTTGACTCAATGTGGCCAATCAACCTCATTTTAACTATATTCGCAATTTTAATTTAGACAACCAAATATAAAAAGCCATGAAATTTTATCACAGATGTCGGTAATGTATTATAATTATATAGGTACTGGGGTACCGGTACTACGATACTCATTGAAGTCATTGGTGCATCCGTTCTGGACATGTCGAAAAATGGGGCCAACATTTTATGGCAATATAAAATTCGGCTTGGTGACAATATAGTTTTTTTGCATTTTATGTCACAGTTTTCTAATAATAAATTATTTTGTCATCACTGACTTAGAGTACATATTTTTCCAAACATGGGGATATCGTTTTTGCAGTATGGTAGATTTTGTGACTGGCAGTGCATTTACTCTGATACATCAATTTAAACTTAATAGCTTATAATTTGTTAATATAAAATCGCGAGAAACAGTGCTGTACCGCTCTACTGCTTCACTCGTTTACAAAAGGGAATAATTTTATTTTCCCCTTTCCACAAAAAGTAATGCTGGAAGGTGTAAGAAAATGAAAACAGGAAATGTCAGTTGTCACCAGTCATCCCCACTCTAAAAAAATTGGTTTGTCGGAAATGGCTCTTCTTATCTATTCAAATTCAATATAAAGATATAAAAAGATTTTCATTATTGTTCATCTTTAAAAATCAGTGGAACACTAATAAATTAATGAATGGAAAACAGTTTTACAATATTGTTACTTTAGAAATTAATACAGTTTAATACAGTACAATAAATTAAAAGTTTTCATTAATTTTAGTTTGTGTAGGAGCTCATTAATTTATGAAGAAGAGATTCTGGAATTCATTAACAAGACAACAAAGTCTAGAACAGTCTACTCTTATTAATATTGTAAATTATCATTTTTAATATCATACAGTACATTGCATTTGTAAATTTTTTTAAGACTTGTTATTGATTTAAAATTTAAATGAATTACATTTAATTAAAATACAATGAACATGTTATTTTTTAAATTTACGGTACTAAAAAGAGGTGTTTTTTTTCCAATTTTTCTTTTCAGGATTTTTTAACAATGGTACCCTCAAATAAAATGATCAAAAATAAAAAGTCTTGACGTTATGTAAAAGTTTTTTTGTTCATTGTGTTTTATATTTATATTGTAGTGAGAATGTCTCCTGAAAATTCGGTAGCATTATCATTTCAAATAAAAAAAGTTGTGGGCAAAATAAGACAGATTTTCAGAATGTTGGAAAGTTGGTCACAAGTTTTTGCTGTTCTTCTTCTTCTATATATTAAGGGCCCATGATCAATTTATTGATCATTTTGGCTCCTATGCATGTAGAGGGGATTTGCAATGTTTCTGTGCCTGGTGTTGATGAGGATATTTCACTGGTTGCAAGGGCTACTTTGTGAGGGTATCATGCACTGGGGGTTGGAAGGCCTGAGGCAATAGATGCAAATGAGTCAAGTGTTGTCGCCTCAATTGTTCCTTTTGAAAGCTTGTTCCAGTCCCTGGTTGTCTTTGGCAGGAATGAGCAGTTCCTATACTGGCTTCTCGCTTGTATGAGCTGGAATTGGCTGTCATGGCCTCGTTGCTGTCTGTGGGGGAGAGTGACGAGTTTCTGTTTAATGCTGGAGCCGTGAACCAGCCCATTATTTATCTTGTACATCATGGAGAGCCTGGATATTCGTCGTTGTTCCTCCAATGGTGACCAGCCTAGTGTTTCCTGCATGCTACCAACACTAGAGGTATTTCTGTAGTAGTTCAGGACAAAGCGTGCTGCCCGTCGCTAGACCGCCTCCAACCTGTCGATGACCTTCTGGGTAAATGGGTCCCAGATGAATATACATAGTCTAAAACTGGACGAACAAAGGCTTTATAGGCTCTTTCTTTCACACTAGAGTTGCCAATCTTTAGATTACGCCTTAAGCACCCCAGGGTCTTGTTTGCCTGGTTGCACACATTGTTAATATGCTCGTCCCAGCGGACCTCTCTTTGAATGGTATCACCTAGGTACTTTATGGAGGAAACTGGCTCAAGTATATGGCCATGCAGTTCGTATTGGTTGTGTAGAGGAGTACAACTTCTAGAGACATAGAAAGATAAATAAAGGGGTTTAAAAAATTAACCAAAAAAATTCATAACTCCACTTCCATAAAAGCTAGAAAGATGAAATTGATGCTTTATAAAGCTTATAGCTAGTCCTTTAAAATGATGTATCATTTATGTTAGGATAAATTTACAATTTCTGTCAAAGTACCTTCTGTATATCACTATTCTCAGACATTTTTATCATTGGTGCCTGATTTTCAAATCATAGTTCATATTTTACCTAATCAATATATGATCATGTTTACTAAATAATAATCCACTAATTATATTTTCATTGATGAAATTAAATGACTATGTCGTCTTTGTCTCTTGCATCTTTCTTTTTCTTTGTTGCCCTTTCAATTACCATTCGAGTGTGACTTATTCGTCTCAACATTCTCTCCAGAATTTCTATGGCAACAATAATTATCTGCTAATAAGTAATCTCATAAATTAGCATTGTAAATTAAAATTAAAGGTATGAGCATAATACCAGTGATCTTATGATAGCATATTTAATTACCAGTATCTATTTGTTAATTGTATCTATCCTTATTATCAAGAACACTAAAATCACATGATCGGTAAGATTATCAAAATGCCATAATATTCCAATAATTATTTAGAAATATTTAAGTTTTTAAATGATTTTATTTTTAAAATTTGCAATAAATAAATGAGTTACTAATTACTTTTGTTACCCTGATGTTGAAGTGTTTATAAATCACAGAGTAGGTCTCCAATTAGACACTGTTATAAGAACTGGATTTGTGAGGCGTGATTGTTGTACCCGGTATATGAAAGTTATTAATCGTGAGCTGGTGACAGGTTTTGTGAGGTCGAGTTGTGATTGGTCAGGTTATGCAAGGTCAAATGGTGGATTTCAGTTTATGGAGTTATTAGTGACAGTGTTAGGCTAGAATGTTTGGTTAACATTGTAGTGTGTAAGGTGCAAGTCTTCGTTGGTCAGTGCAGTGAGGATTTTAATAATATAGGGGATGTTTGTGAACTGCCCAGCTGCTGTGATAGATCCTGTAAATACAGAACTTTCATTGGACGTTGTTGTGCTGCTCTTAAGTGCAAATGGGGCAGTGTTGTAGTGAAGTTAGACAGCATGCCAGTGATAATAAAGAGGGTCCTAACAGATCCCAAATGTTACAGTTAATGACAAATGGCTAAATGTTTTTTGTTTTAGTACAATTTATTATTATTTATTTTTTAGATACCCTGGTACAGTAAGACTGAGAGTATCTAGTGTTTGGAAAATAAAATTCCTCATATTATATTGAAATAAGTTGATAATTTTTTTTTAAATATAAGAATTGGTAATTGATTATAATATGATCAAATAAGATTTTACACAGCTATTGTTATTTGTTTGGGTTGCTTGCTGCAAGCTGCTGATGTATTTTTGTTACATTTTAACAGGCCTTATTCCATTTTCTTGTATTGCCGAAAAGAAATATACCAAACTTGAAGAGTCTCACTCAGAAGGACCTTGAACTCTTAAAGCACATACACAAGAAAGGTGAAGAAATTGCTAATAGGTAAACAAAAATTGATTATTCATTATTTAATGATGTTGGGTCCATAGAAAAGAATGCTGCAGCTTTCAACGATTGAGATGTTGGACTTGGTCTTAAAAGGGCTCAGAAAAAATATAATTTGAAGTATCATTGATCAGTCTTTTTAGCCTTAGTTTTAAAAAGAGATCCTTTATGTAATCTAGACAAAATATCTATAATTTACAATTTTGTATTTCATAGATAAAATGTATTTTTAAAAATGATATGGTCTTAAATATAAATAGCTTTTATTTCATAAAACAGAGCCAACAAGGAACTAAGATTTCGACTCGGATATCATGCAGTTCCAAGTATGAGGTAAGCAAAAAATTAATTAAGAACATTTGAAATTAAGATGAGGTACAAATAATTTGTAAACAGTAATAGTAGACCCAGACACAGAAATGGTATTTTGTTTTTTTCTAAACCCTCAAAAGATAAGTCGCACAATAGTGGCTTCTATTATCTAAATTTATGAGGCAGTTATTTTTCTTAAGATGTTATATCTTGAAACATTTGATGAACACATTGATGATGATCAAGACAGTCTTGTCAACAAATATAACATTTTTATAAACTATAGGTAAACATTAACATAAACATTTTTATTCATGCTTTATTGGCAGATGCATTCCAAGTTTACCCACACATTTTGAAAAATGGATTGATAAGGACCAATGATATGGAGTACATAAATCTCATTAGGTTTCTCCTGCATATCTAATTTTTATATTATTTTCTTCCAGTCACCTACATATGCATGTGATAAGCCAAGACTTTAACAGCCCCTGTCTGAAGAATAAGAAACATTGGAACTCATTTAATACACATTATTTTATAGACTCAGTAGGTTGGTGTCATGGGTAAATATGGTGTATGGACACTTAAATATATACAGACAGTGGTATCACAGCACATTTGAACCATTATCTGAGTCACAACAATTTTGCATGGGTAAATAGTAAATAACAAGGTGAAATGCACTCATTAACCTCAGCTGCAATCTCTGATGACAGCAGCCAACTTGATATAAAATTTTAAAATATAAAACTGTCTAAGCTGTTCGACTTACACAAAAATCAGGCTCAATAAAAATAGGAACCCTTCCTACTGACACTACCTGCAAGCTTTAAAACAAAACTCATACTGCCCATAAAGAAGGATTTGCTCAGCCTTCAGAAGAAAATTTACACAAACTAGTAGTATCGGGTAAACCACTTTTGGGGTTTGTTTTTTTTTTACTGATATTTCCCCTAAAAATGTCATGGGAGCTAAGCTAGTTGTTTCATGGTTTTATTGTCATGTTGGTCTTTGAGGCAAACCGTAGATTAAATAAGACAAAGGTAGATATAATTTTGGCTCACCACTTGTTCCACTTGAATTTGAAGCTAGCCATGTGAATTTATTTTAAATCTCACCCCACTCCCTAAATAATTATTCTATTATTAGTCCAGGCCATCCACCACATCATGCTGCTTTGAGACAAAGAAAATACAATTTGAATTTTGATTGTAAGAATTGGATTTATCTAATTTATATACCGGTAGGGTTTTTTTTTAATAGTATATTGTGAAGGAAATACATTAGATAACATTGTCCTTTGATTGCAGATTTGATCAGAGAAATTGAGAAGACTGGACATTGGAAGTCTGATCAGGCAGAGATGAATGCATTTCTTAAAAAAGATCTCAGGTAGTAAAGGATGTATTTCATTTCTGTGATGTAGTACCTGTTGCTGTTCACTTTCTCTGATATTATGTAGTACCAACACCATACACTTACACATATGGTGTGACTGTCACTTTCACATGTTATATGTGTCACTAAATATTTCTCGAAATTGGTACTTTAACACAGTCATGCTTGTTCACACAAAACTCATGATTTTTTGCACATGAGACTGGGTGAAGTATTATTTAAGAAAAGCATGAGGTTAAGGACTTATTTTATTGGCAGGAGAATAATTCATGAGATTGAGTGAGAGAATGGAGCAGATATCTTGGATCAGAGGGCATGCACATATTAATTGTAAATGTTTAAAAAGTAATCTCATATGGTTTGGAGCTACATATCCTTTTATTTTGCTAATATTGATATTATTATTATTTCAAGGATTATTCATTGTGTTTCATGGAAATAAAAATAAAGTCCATAGTAGCATAGTTTGGAAAATTGGACTTGACATTTGATTGTGAAGAAGTGGCAGTAAGAGTTGACACTTGATTTAACAATTTAGATACCTATAGATAACGATCAACACTGGAGCCACACATGGGATGAACAGTTACAAGCACCCCCACTATACACATATATCAAGTAGTAACTAACTGTCATTGTACATATTACTCATTGTGTATATGTCACTGTAGGCTCTATCATTAATATATGTTACTGGTACTGTTACTGTACAGTATCTTATGTACCACCTGTCACTGTACACTTCTCTCATTTCTTTATGTCTCTGTAATTTCCCTCATATTACTGTGCTTTTTACTTTACACAGATGTTAATATTTTTCAGGTGCCATGTATGTAAGGAAGTGTTCCAAACAATACCCTCACTCAAAGCTCACATTAGTCTTCATGATGTTACAAAACACCATGATTCATCCAGCTCATGATGTTTAACTCACTATGATTCATGATTCATCCAGCTTACGATGTTACAACACAACAGGATTTATCCAGCTCAGGATGTTACGACACACTATGATTCATCAAGCTCATGATTTTAAAACACACCAAGATTCATCCACCTACTGATCTTCAAACTCAGCCACATTAATCTACCATAGATCAACCGGGATCTGGGGAATACAGCATTATTAGACACTCGTGCTACAGTGTCATTACAAGTTAATGAGCCTCCATTTTAACAGCATACATGTTACAATACATTGTGATGGGACTGAATTTGATTTATGTATTTTAATCCCATAAATTACACTATGTTATAATATTGAGTCAATTTTTTCAGAGTTTCAGTATCTTATAATTACCGGTATAATATAGTAAAGAAAATTATACCTTGCATCTTTTAATCCTTAAAATTGCATTCTTTTCATTTATATAGAGAAAAATTTGCTGCTGGGGAGGGGACCTCCCCCTCCCCTCCCAACCTCCTTCAACACTGCATACAGACATGTAGGCCTATACGTTTGAAAACCTTGTTACCTAAAAAAAACTTAAGTTTAAGTGAATTAGTGTTTGTAGCTTTTGAAAAAGGCAATAGAATTGTAGACAAAATGTTACAACTCCAACAAAGTTACAGGTACACATTTAAGTTTTCTGCCCATTTTTCACAATTTAGAGTATCTGAAAAAACCAACGAAAGCTTTGCAAGCACGGAAGACAAGATTAAAAAGAATAAACAAGGATTGTAAGTTTAACGAAAATCCAGGCTAAGGTAACCGTACTGCTATTGGTCCCTGATATCCAGGTATAGTCCCCCAAAACAAGGCTCCTGGTTTCTGCATTATTTTTTAAATGCCTAGCAATGTTTACCTTAAGGCTCATGATAATGCCTTATGACATGCGTCAATTTCAACTCAAAAAAAAAATAATAATTACTTTACAGATTTACAATATTTCATCAATACAAAGATAATCGCCTCCTTCTAATCTGTTTCTGTAATTACTGTCTAATATCTATCAATGACACAGCATGATGTGTTTAGAAATTAAAATGAGTTGGAGATGTTGACATATTTTACACTTAAATTATTTTGACATTGGTACACATAAAACAACTATTAAAGGCCAGGGTAATTTATTTCCTGTTTTTTTTTATAGCTCTGTCCTCTTATTAGTAGAAGACCATTGGTCACTGATGAGTGGTGCCAGGACACTCAATGGGCTATTTCCAATGAAATTTCAAACCACAATCATAGTCATAATATGATGTATTTCTCAGAAAAATGTTGAACACTGAGGTTATTTCAATTTTTTGTTAATGTTGGTGGTAGGTTTAGGATTTCTTTTTCTTCAGGAAACGATGTTTTTACCAATCCTGGTTAAGAGAAGCCCCCCACCCCCTTTTTTTGTTTTTGGTCGCTTAAGCTTAACTCCGCACTTTGTTGCTTTTTTTAATGTACAAAAATAAATAAATTGTAATTCAACTAATACTTCTTTAGTTTTCTTTTATTTATTACCATAACCATTATAGTATTTAGCACAGCGACACATGAAAAATACCTTTTTTAAACAATTTTAATTTAACTTCATAGGAACAGTGCTCCAACCTGCCCGGGTGTCATATTTGAAACAATCCATAGACAACCGAAATGGTAATTTTTTCATGCAAAAATAATTGTCTGTAACACGCATTGGAGGGGGGGGGGGGGGGGGGGGGGGGGGGAGGCAGAGCGCCTACAGTATTCAGGGTTTGTACCAGGTCACGCAGGTGCAGGATAGAAGTAGAAGTTATGAATAGTAGGCCTATAACTATAATGTCAAAAATATTAAGTTATAATATAACATTTTATTACTCCGATTCACCGATGAATCAAATCTAAATTTTGCAGACATCTATTTGGGGGAGGAGCGGCATTTATTACTGTTAATTGTTTAAATTATCTGGATGCTTCAACTACCGTATTTCGTATCGAATTTCGATGTTGTAAATGTGTGAAGTGAAATTTCGAATCGACAAGAAAAAATGTGGCAGTTCTGTGTTGAAAATAATCATATTATTAATGTTAAACTTTCATCTTAAACTTAAACTGTAACGTTGTAAAGAAAAAAAAAAACAACACTTCTATACTTTAACTTTACTCTAACTGTACTGTACAACTTCCTCTTTTTTTTTTTTTATTTTTCTTTTTTTTTATAATTATTTTTTAGTTCAGCAGTTTAGCTTTTCGTTTGGACTTAAATTTAAATTTGCATACGGTAATAATTTGTATTTAAAATAAGTATAAGGTTTTTGTTGGGTGTAGTTAGCATTATCAAGTTTTACTCTGCAAAGAAGTTAAAATGTTTTCACGCAAATAGTCTGTAAATGTTGATAAAATCGTTTCACGAAAGAACATTTTGTGTGTTTTATATATATAAAACTTTCTTTGTTTTGCAATGGAATTAAATTTCACCTTTAACCCTTATGTTAAAGCCACATCGCATGCGCACTATGACCCATGTGACTAAAGAATCCAATCAAAGTGTAACATTGTCTGACGCCGCCAAGCTTGTAATGTTTTAGTTTAGGAAAATTGAATAAATGATAATTGATATAGATACGTTGGTTACATTTTAACTTTAAAAAAATGAAACATGTGTGTAATTAAAGAAACTAATTTTAGCATTACTCTTCCACTCACATGCCTTTGAACTAGGTGTGTTTACCGATTGGATAATTGACCGGACGCCATTTTTCGAGTTTTTTTTTATTGGGAGCACACACTTCACCTGGTGGAATTTATTGACTAAGGCTGTGAGATAACTGGTTCAAAAATGTATTACTAATGCTTTTTGTGTGTTTGAAAAGTCACTGTGGATACACCATTCAATACTGGAGTTAAACCTCCGTCACCACATGGCGAACAGCAATACCACACTTGCCAACTTGTGGGTGGATGATGGTAAGAACTTCGATTTTCGTATTGTTTATTTTTTCGACCTAAACACAGTGTCCTTGCTTCTGCTCTACACTAACACTTTTTACTATACTATTATCATTATTTTATAGTTCATCACATTTCTCTACGACTTATTTTAAATTATTATAAATAATTAATTAACAAATGTAGTAGCATATTAAAAATATTAAATTATTTTATATTACTATTACTATTACATTCTAATACTAGTTATTCTAAGTCTAAGTTATACCTAAATTTAGTAAATTTAAGTAAATTACCTCTTGCCTCTTCTACTCTTCTTAATACTTCTTTACTGAAGTACTACTTATCTAGGCCTCTAACTCTAGTAATAAATAAGTATTAATTATTATTATGACAGCCAAAGTTCACATCATTTGACTTAAATTATGGATTACTATCTATACTATACTATCTGAAAAGTATGTGGCTTTTAGTAGTTTTTTAAATTAGGATAATAAGTATTATTATTATTAATTATTAAGTTTAGTTTAAATATCAACATCTATTGAAATTGGATGTGGTCCAATGTTGTGGTTATGTGGTTTCGCTAGCTAAGGCCTAAGGCTAAGTAATAAGATGTTAGCAAGTAGTGGGGACAGTGGGTATCTCATATTTGATGATTTAGACTTATTTTAAAAATGTTTCTAGTCTAGTTTCTTCAGCTTTTGAAGATATTTATAAATATCAATTAATTTAAATATAATAAATTTAATATTATTTAAAATTAAAATCAATTTTGTTGGATTTAAATTGGGTTTTAATTTTAACATTAACATGTTATTTAACTTTTAAGTAAAATATAAGAAATATTATAAAATCTTACATACATTTTAACTTAAATATTAAATTAAATCCATTTAAAGGGATTTTCATACTTGACCCACACTGAAACTGAAATGTATCATTATATTCTTATAAAAATGACAATGAAATATCAATAAATTACCTAAAAAAGCTTTAAAAACTTATAATTTATAATCAATAATAGTCTTAATATTATAGTCTCTAGAGACTCTATCTCATCTATGACTCTATGAATATAAGAATCTCAATTCACTTTTAGTTTCACAGGTTCAAATTATCAATATCATAAATATAATATTGTCATTTGATTAATCCAATTATATCATGTCCTTCCGATTAGGTTATTGGAATATAGAACAACTAATTCGTCAGAGTCAGGGCTTTATCAAAATCAAATGAAACATTCAGTCAATGTTTAGATCATCTTAGCGCTCTGAAACAGCATTATCTTCATTTTTGTCAAAACACACATACCAAATTGTTGATGTGAATATTTAGAGGCAGCTTGTTACGAAAAAGAACATCAAAGTTTGGAAAAAATATTAACAGCTAATTTTTTACATTTTATTTTAAAAGCAACATTTCATCATTTATATTTGTAAGAGCCTTTTACTTTTCATTTAGGGCTTTCTGGTAATAAATAGCTGGGCCTTACAGTATATTACAGATAGATGTATCATATGCAACATTACATATAAAAACAAGGCCACCCATAATTATGGGGTTCAGAATGAAAGAGATCAATACACTCCATGTGACTCCAGCATCTCTCTACTGTTTTCTTCTCACAGAGTGAGTCCAGAATCTATTGATTGTTTTCCTGCCATTCTCTTCTTAAACCATAATCTTCTCTCTACCAAATTTACATATTATTATTGGTCTGATTTTAAAAGTGCCTTTTCAATAGCATATTCCATCAAGTGACGCAGATACTGTCATGTAAGATTAACTTCTTCAAGTAGATAAGCTTGAAATCACAGACAACATGTAAAAGACCTTGTGCTGTATAATAATGATGGTTAATGATTAAGAGGGGGTGCTAGTGACAAATCTGAAAATATTAATTTTTCAGTATTTCTGGGTTTTGATTGATTTGGTTTTTAAAAAAAAATATATATACATTTATATCAATTATTAAAAGATATTAGAAATTTGTAAAAAATATTGTGTTTACCCTATAAATTATAAATGGATAAAAAAATTATTTTAAATGTTTTTAATTTTTACGGATTAATTCGTGTACTTGAATTGCCTGACCACATTTTATTTGTTTATCGATAGAAATTTTTAAATCTCATAATTTAGATTTATATAAAGCTTCATTTCACTTACGAAAATTACTGAACACTTCAATAGGCATTGAATCATGGTCTAAACTGTGTTTTTCTGACATAATTATGGGGTCACCTCATTTCTGAAGCATCAGTCTTGAACTTATTAAAAGATATTAGAAATTTGTAAAAAATATTATTGTGTTTACCCTATAAATTATAAATGGATAAAAAAAATATTTTTAAATGTTTTTAATTTTTACGGATTAATTCGTGTACTTGAATTGCCTGACCACATTTTATTTATCGATAGAAATTTTTAAATCTCATAATTTAGATTTATATAAAGCTTCATTTCACTTACGAAAATTACTGAACACTTCAATAGGCTTTGAATCATGGTCTAAACTCTGTTTTTCTGACATAATTATAGGGTCACCTCATTTCTGAAGCATCAGTCTTGAACTTTTTATATTTGAACTTTATTTGCTTTTTATTCAAAGCACACATTTGGATTGGTTAAGTATGGGGAAAATTGATGTGTGACGTGTGATTGGTTATCCTTTTATGAAATTTGGTTAGACTGAGGTGTGTGCCCTGTAAATATGCACCCCCCTGTCTACACTACTGACAACTGCCATAGTTATTCATTTTTGAGCTGAAAGTTGGGACCACTGTTCCATAACTAACACAAAATGTCAAACATTTGAAAGAGGTAGCTTTAATTTTTAGACACTCAAATAACCTTTCTAACATTTTTAAAGGACAAGTTGAAATTCACATTTTTATTGTTTTGGTGCTAATTTAAAGTTTGTGTTCAATGTTGTACCAATTGATATTACACTGTCACTTTAAAGATATCAAGCTTGCTGTAAAATACTTCCTGGCCTTAATAGAGAATATATTCTATAACCAAACCTTAGTGGGTAGTCTTTAAAGCAAGGGTACTCACCCCGTGGGTCAGATCCAGCCCGCAGAAAGTAAGGATACCTGGCAAGCTGCGTCAAATTGATTATGATTGATAATCTCATTAGCATTACTTCCCGTTGAAATACTATTAAGTTTATGTTGTATATATTTTATCTTCATGCTATGTTTTTTCAAAATATTTTTTCGGTACAAATGAGATATGTGCATAAAATTCTTTCATATTTTTTTCAAAAATATAGTCCACCCCGACAGTGTCTCAGGGGCTTTTAGGTTGTGCATGTCTTCATTCTATATTATTTTAGTGTAAATAGTGTAAAGAACTAGGTCTGGAGGCAGAATCAAGAGTATATATCCTATTTTCCTAACTCTAAATGAGATGTAAGTTAAGTGATGGTTCAAGGATCCACCACATTCATGTGTCTGTGACATGTTAACATAGTTCTGATAGCTTAACAATTTTTTTTCAGATGAATATGACTGTCATTAAAATTATTTTATCACCTTTC